CATCACCTTTTAGTTTGGTATTTCTACTGATGTGTTTTGGAGCCTTCTGGTACAACAGCCCCCTAGCCAGGCAAGGGGCAGTGCTAGAAGCAACGCTGAACTTGGCCTCTCGCTCTCCAACAAGCAGCTCTGCAGAGAAAAACCTGGCTGTCTGGGGCTTGTGCAAACACAGGGTCGTGTGAATGCACTGGTACGAAGCAAGCTGGAGCAAGGGGAAGGGAGTCAGCAACTGCAAAAGGGAACTCCTTTGTTACAGGCTGAAACTGGAGCACCTCATATACAAAATAAAACTCAATAAAAAAGTCCTGTGGTCAAGATCTATACAAGACTTATCCGTCTGAACCATGGAGGACTGAAGAGAAATGATAGTACACAGGATCTACTATTTCTCTACTGTAGGTATCAAATTAAGGTGGAAACAGGACAAATATTTCCCATGGTCATACACAAAGCCTGCAGCAGCACATGTGAACGTACAAGGTTCCTAAGGTCTGCTAGCAATACCCCAATCCCTGGACCATCTTCCCTCTCTCCATCACATTAATATGCCAGGGTGAATGTCAAATATTAAAACCAGAGAAGCAGCAAATCACTGGGGGCCGGGGGGAAACACTTAAAATGGGCATTCTGATTTCTCCAAAACACCACCTAAAATGGCAAGTTGAAATTGTAATTACTTCTTATATGGGAAAATTAATCTGAGGGTTACTTTTTGTCATCGAAGAGGTGGATTCTTAGAGGGCAGAATGTCATCCTGGGCTTGTTTTATGGGACTTCTAGTTACTTCAGTGCATATAAGAAGCTCACAGCAGAATCTAATTGCCCTTCAGGAATGTGAATTAACTGCATTCTCCATTTCAAATTGAGCTGGGCAAGGAATGGGAAAATTCCTTTGCAACTGAGCAAGCAAAAGGACCAATTTCAAGCGGACAAAACACTCAGTGGTTGTCCTTGGCACCCCTTTAATCTGGGATCTGAGGCTTCTGCATCAGGCAGGCAACAACTATTAACTCTAAAATAAGCCCATGAAACCTTAATAGGCAAAACATTTTTCAGAAAAGCTGTCATGCTACCAGAAATAAAATCACTTGACATGAAGAGTTACCAAATCTAGCAAGTTACACTACCACAGAGACTGCCAGTAAACAGAGACATGTAAGATAAATAAACCTAAGAGTAGCCATATCTCCACCAACCTTCCTCAGACAATATGACTGATGGCTATTACAATGGACATCTACCTACAAACCCAGAAAACAGATTCCTGCTCTTTTTATTTTATTTTATTCTCCCACTGCAATCACATCTCCTTGCAGATGTTGGTACAAATCAGGAAATTTTTTTTCAAACTTTTAGCTCCAGATTTGTGGGAAACAAAGATGCAAAACAGTCACCTCAGCTCAAGTTACTCAGTAAGTAAAATGTGATGGAAAGCACCCCAAAACCTCATCAAGTTTGGGTCAGGGTATCTCTCAGCCCTAGGTCTGCAGTTCAAACATTGGTTTGTTTTTAAAGTAATGTAGCTTCCGTGCATATTTCACTTTCCATCTGTTTTCTGTGTTTATTGCAATATTTGCCTTATGAATATAATTTCAGGCATGCTCAGATCACAACTCATATTAAACCATTAAAATCCTTCTGCTTAGGGTCAATAATCTAGAGTCTTCAGCTTCCTACTAAAGAAATCATTTGTTCTTCTGACTGTATTATCTGCTACATAAACAGTTTTCAGGTTGACCACAACAAATGGGGGTATTTGGCTCGGTGTTGGCTTTGAAATTGCTGATCATATTTGCCAGGACAAAAACTCTCAAACATTTCTACAGTATTATCTGATCAGAGAGCTGGTGGAGCTTCCAGTTACTTAAGAGATGCTAAAGAGCAAGTCTCTCAAAAACAATGAAAAAGCCCAAAAGGCAGGACTCCTACATATATTATGGATTAATAAGTAACCTAAAAAAAAAAAAAAAAAAAAGTTGTTCTTGTGGAAGCTAATCTCTGCTTAAATAGAAATACAGAGAAGCAGTCAGAACATTTGTTCAGACACAAATTGATTCAAGTGGGTTCCAGCTAGGTATCTAAATGACTACCAGTGGTGTACTGTCTGAGAATCTTAAAATGCTCATGGGTTTCTGCTCAAACCGATGAGTCTTGCCCAAGGTCACCCGACAGAGTAAGAACCTGAATTTTGCTCTCTAGAGTCCCATGCCAGTTGTACCACACACTGTCTTTTCATCCTCCTCACTGAAAAAAGGGCTTTACCATCCCCTGCCCCCAACACCAGCGCAACGTCTCAGGAATATCTGCTCAACACCGTTGCCATGCATTTAAGAGCAACACTAACAGCATGCTGCTAACAGTATCTCCATTTTATGTTCAAGATACTCTGACTAGATTCCTTCTGGATAACGCTTAATAATTACACTGATCAGATAATTTTTTGTTTTGGGAACAAAGGGAAAAAAACCCCACACAAACACATTGCTGCAACAAAACTGCCTAGGTGAATAAAATACCTGCTCAGAAGACAATTGGAACAAGCAAGCTATAGAAGCAACCAGAAGACAACTCAGTAGGTAGACAGGAGTTGATTTTTTTCCTACAGGAAAAAAAAAATTTCCTAAGAAAAAAAAATTAATGAGAATTTTGCTTCCGATTTTAATCACAGCAAAACCGGGCAGACAGATCTATAAATTGCATTTGATATTTACATTTTTTCAGTATATAATATTGTCATGTGGCTGAAGCAACCCTTGCACTGACAAAGCATCAAACACAAGAATTAACAAAATACAAACAGAGAAAGGAGTCCCATCGTCTTCAGCAGCTGATTTAGAAACTAACATACTGCAAACCCTGATCACACTGGACTAGCCTAAAGCTAAAAAATCCAAACTTTCACCTCAAAAGGAACATTCACCATCACAGTGCATTTTTTGTTATGCACACCAAATAAAAACCTTCACAAACACTGTTTACACAAGAGGATTCACTAACTGGAAAGGACTGCCAGTTTCCTAGACAAATAGGAAAGGCAATTTCTGAGCCATAGTAAGGACTTCAATGGAAATGCAGCAAATCCCTTCCTTCTAAGAATTTAAAGAGCAAGGAAAACAACAGTGTGCCATCGTTCATTTTAATACATTGCACTAAATGCCTTGATAACCTACGGAGAGATTTAAGTACCAAGGGTCTTTCAAGAAAAGACTTCATGTCACCAACCTGCTTGACATGATTCCAGAAGGTACGCGAGGGGTCATCACTGCCAGCACATGCTAGCCAAAACTCAGTAAGTCATTACCTAAATATCCTTTACATCTCATAAAAACAACATCTTTTCCAAGTATGAATCATAAATCTTGATATGTAGGAAAACACCCTCAGCTTTGGCTCAGCTGTAACTCACGTAGAAACGCCATGCCAGAGCACGAATGCTGCATATTAATCACGGCAGTGATAGGCGACACGTGCAGGTTTATTTAATGGATTTGGAAAGTCACTCAAGTTGCAACAGTTATTACAGAAGTATGTTTTTATTACAGTCATTGGGCAAGAATTTGTGATGATCAACTATGAACACCCTCTTTTCAACCTTTTGTTATAAACTAGATTTTAATCAGAAGATTTCCCTGACATTTTTATTGCTCAAGTTTCATCTTCGTAAGTACTGATGATTTTAAGGTTGAAGTAACAGCAACAACTCTATATTGCAGTTGAACAAAACAATACCGTACTGGCTTTTTGTTTATTAGATTAAAAGAGAACAACCTTTTTTACTATTATAAAGTTTTATGGAAATTAAATAATACCATGTGGGAGCATTCTAAATCCTACCACTTGGCATATTCATTTAGGACAACAAAATAATATTTCTGGGAAGCCACCTGTACACACACTGACATACACCAGCAGTTGAACAAAGCAGATGACAAACTACCTACGATACATCAGCTGATGCCTATATTCTTAGGGAGCCAAAATCTTCATCCTCATTTTAAGATGAATTAACTGATACCTATTTGCTTTTAAAGTCTGGGTTATGTGTCTTTGAAGCACAGTGTATTTGGAGTTTAACTCCTTGTCCCATTTTGTCTTGTTTTTTGCGCTCTCAGATACAATTGGGTTTGCATTAGAGCTTTCATTTACTCTTCAGTTCTCAACCTGTGCAGCTGAACAACTGAATTAGCTCCCAACAGGAGATGGACATGAGAATGCATGTCTGTAGGTAAGATGATTCTTGGATGGAGAAGCACAGTTATGTTAACTGTCTTCAAAAGAGAGACATTAGAAAATCAAACTCTTACACTGATCATATTGAGACTTGCATGGGGGATGTCACCAATCTGAAACCTGCAAAGGAGCAAGGAAAAGTTCCTAGCAGGACAGCTCATCCAAGCTGGACATCTGAATTTCCTGTAAAGAATTTGCTGGCGATTAAGGCATCCTCCTGAGGAAGCAGTCTTTGATCCTAAGGATGGACTGAGATCCCAGGAAAGGCGGATGTAGGCTTCTTGCATGAGTAGCAGACATTTTTGCAATTTTTTTCCTCCCAGGAGTTTAGGACACAACTATAAACTAAGTTACATTAAAAGCTACACATTCAGCTAGGGCTTTTTATTACTATTATTTTCTTCCTGTCCAGGGATTTTTCTTCCATTCTACTAGTTTTACTCTGCTGACAGGTGGCAGTCACCTTTGTTCTAAGCACAAGTTTAGAAACCTGAAGCTCTACTGCTGTCCGAAAGCTTTTGTATTGTGGAAGGAGTGAGGCTGTGCCTGCTTTTCATGGAGGATTTATTATGAATATTACTCTCTGTCAGGCAAAACCCAAGCATCTTGGCTATCATTAACTCCTATAGCCAGTGAAAGTTAACTAGATCAGAAGCAGGTCATTTCACTTACTCTGTGACCACAAAACATTTTTGGAAGTTACAGCCAGCTAGCAGCTGTTAAAAAAATAAAAAGAGCATTTACAAATGCTTTTACTACATCAGCCTTACCTGCATCAGTTTCTTACGCTTTGCCTCTGTCTCAGAGTAGTTGATCACAGTATAGATGCCAGGAGATGGGGATCCTCGAAGCTTCTCCCAGCCTAGCACTACACAGGTGATGCTGCGAGAGCCCAAGGTCTGCTCCTGAATTACACCAAGTAAATGCCACTCCAGACTGGCTCTTCGCACCAGGCAGCTGTCTGAAGCACTGAAGGCTGGAAACTGTATTTCACACATGACCACAGACTTTTTCATCCTACATTTTACAATTGCACATGACATTCTGGAGCTGTAGTCCAAAGAAATCAAAAGGCCTCTGACACTTAGAGCATTGAGCCTTAGAAAACATCAACAGTCTCGGCAATTTTGCCATCCTGGTCACTTTACAGAGTCTGGTACATCTGGAGGTTGTTAATTAACACATTTGTGGAATACCATAATTTTACACAACACTTCGACTTGACCCATGTCAAAACAATCTCGTATGTGACCCTATGCCCACATAATGGAGACAGCTGGCTAATTATGTTCATCAGTATTTTCTTTTTAGCCTTTAAAGGCTGATTAAATGCAAAACAAAAGCTTAATTTAAACTTGAACCCCAGGTTCTTTCCATTTTGTTTGTGATTAGGCTCCAGAGTGCTACCAAACTCAGCACTCCCTACTTCTCACCTGCTAGAACAAAATCAAGTTGTGTGGATCAACTTCATCACAGTTTACAGAAACACAGTTAAAGCAAGCACAAAGACAAATTGAAGTATTTTCAGAATAAGGAACTTAACCTTGAAAATACAGTGGGATGTATGTGTATATAAATCCCCTGAAATGTCCTGTTCCAATTTTAGTCTTTTCACATGTATTAATATATACACAATATACACAAAGCAGTTTTCCATTTAAAATTGCATTCCCCAAAGTAGCAAAGAATAAAAAATCATGTACTAAATTAAAACAATGTATTTGCAGACTGGAATACGTCCTGCTACACATAGTCTGAAGTTACCTTATGCATACATACAGCGGAAGGTAACATTTGCCAATTGAGAAGGTATCTACTCTGCTGCAAGAATCAGTAATCACACCCAATTTTTAACTATTTTGTAAAGACCATCAGTGCAGGTCTGGGTTTTTTGCTTCCAAGATTACCCTAAAACACCTGTGTTAAGTGATCTACAGGTGATTTCTTTTACAATACTTCAGTTACAAGTGTACAAGAAACCCTGTTTTTCCAACCCAGATAACAAAAACTTCCATGTTTACGCATTCTACTCAACTGAATGTCTTCATCTCAAGAAAACAACAGCTACGCAGAAGTCCAAGAGGACTAAATTCACAGCCTCAGAAATCTTCATGTATTTGTACTTTAGAAGTGTCATAGAATCACTACAAAATGAAATATTATTCTTAAAACAAGCAGGAACTCTACTTCTTTCACAAATGCAATTTATGTCTGATGGGAGTGGCTCACATTTTGTTTTCATCAACTGTAATGACACTGATCAGTCAGTAATATTATAACATATGACTGTTGTGTAAATCAATTCCTCAAACTTCTATTTTAATGCATACGTAAATATGACTCTTTAACAATGTAAAATCAAAATTAACACACATTTCTGAAGCCTACACAAAATGAGAAAAAGCTCCAACTATAACCACCCAGAACATACAATCAGTTGTGCTGCTCCTCATTTAAGATGGTTCTTCAGGATGGCATTTTGTACCTACCACTGTTTTTTAAGAAGGGTCTCTCTCAAAAGGTGCTACTACGAATGTATTTGAGAAAGATGCAAACCCCTGAAACTTATGCAACTTATCTGCCAGTATCTTTAAATATGCAAGGCAATCTTTTGTTGAAAACAAAATTTCCTGAGAGCTCCCTTTTATAAGCGCTTCAATATTCAATTACACAAAAATGGGGAAAATTGCTTGCAAATATTTGGTTATTTAGAACCACGCTTTGCTGTAACCCTACAAATGAGAAATTCATACTTTTCATGCTGCTGTAATGTTTTAGCTCCTCTGGCAAAAAGCATACATACACTTTGAAGCTCTTTGCAAATGCAATCACACAACCAACCTATATTTTACTGCCCACTAGCAAATGACACTGCTAAGGCCAAGCTAAAACTATTTTAGTCAAACAATCTTAGATTATATGCTGACTTACAGCTGGACAACTTAGCTGGATATCTAGAACTAAGAAAACAACAGGCAACAACAGATCACAACATGCAGCAAAAGAGCAGAAAAGCATTGAGTGGAACTTGACTCAAAACATACCTCGTGGGAAGGGTCCAAAGTTCTGCACACTTCCACTTCTCATGAGGGAAATCCAAGTGCAAGCAGATTTTAATCATACATTGTGACTGGTAAATGGTTAGCTTAGCTGCTATGACCACTTGTCACCATACTACATAATACAGTACAATCATTCACAAGGAAACAAGGACTGATGTTAGAAGCAGAGATGAAGAAGTGCACATGCAGGGCTGGGTAAGGAGGCATGCAGTAAGTCTGCGTGAACCCTGCCTAGACACTGACAGCGCTACCTTTCATCAGCGGCCTCTTTTTATTTTCAGAGGTTATTTAAATGCAGTTTAGCTTTTAAAGAAAAAAAAAAACACACAGAACTTGATTCTGGCAAGCCCGGCACCAGCTCCTGCTCTCAGCAGATGGCTCAGCACAAGACCACAGCACACTGATCGTTGGGCCCTACGCGGGCGAGCCAACATGAGCAATAGCAGGGACTGCAAGAAGCTATGGAGAGCACCAGAGAACATACCTTCTTATGAACAACGGAGGAAGTGGAATTAATTGTGCTCTCGTCACTATGCATCATGACCAGTTCAGGGCTGCTCTCATCCAGGACCTCCTGCATGCTGCTCACACTGCTGCTCTGACTGCCTGTGCTCACAGACATACTTGGGATGGAATGGTTGCTGCCCAGACTGTCCATCTTCCTACTCAGGTTTGATCCATGCTCACTGTCCTATAAAACAAGGGGCATCAGTTACAAATACTGCATGAGATCACCTGCCCAGCATGTGCCTGCAGTGCCCAAAGTTTGTTTTAAAGGCCACTCTGCAGAGTTAAAGGTTCTTTGCTCATTATTTTGGCAACTACGTTTCTCAAGGCTGCTTGGGTTATGAAATACTCCATATGGGGCAGTTAGCTTTTGCCTTTTCCCCTGCAATCTTACTACATCAGGCATCAAGCCAGTTTTTTCCACATATCAGTTAAGTCTGGGCTTGAATAGGAGACATCCAGGAATAATGGATGGCTGGCGGAAGGAGTCTTGTAACTAAAAGGAGCAATCTAAGTTTGTATTAAAACAATGTTCCAAGTCAGGGTATGCTACAATGCATCAGAAAAGATGTAAGATAATGAATCCATTTGTTTATGACTTGATAACTATCACATGGTGCTTAACAGGTGTAGAGGTTTTAACCTCCATGTCCCAAGCAGTCAGCAATTACATTTTGTTAAGCTAAAAATCCCTCTGACCTTGTGTTTTCAGCCAAGGTAAATTCTTCATTCACCTTTAAGCAGCTGACTCAGAAGAGCCTGCATTATTACAGTGATTAAAACTGTTGTGATCTACTTAGACATATGTATATAAATATTCCTCGTATAGGACATATTTTTGATTCTACAGACAAATATCAGAAGTTAGCATCCTTTTTTCTTGTTGCATAGTTATACCCAGTAATCCCAGAATATGTGCTTAGTCTGGACTGACTGAGAGAATTTATGGAGTCCTTTATAATTAACTAGTGGCACTGAAGAGGCTTGCAAGGAGTTCATAGTGAGGACTGAGAACTCCGAACATACTTCAGCTCCTGGTCTGAAATAGCCTTGACTCACCAAAATGAATGGCTTGCTACCGCACCCAGTTTGTCCTGGCCTCCAAAGTGAGCTTGGGGAGAATTACATTACAAATCAATTAACAGGGTACTCATTTTGTTGGAAACCGACAGAAAGATAAAATTGACAGACTTGACAGATTTGTATTTGATTGTATGATTATTTTTTAAGCAATCAGCAGATCATTTAGAGCCTGTATAACAGCACTTAAAATCCAAAATAATACTATTTTACAGAGAACATATGCACATGAAAATATTTCCAGAATGCTTAAATAAAGTTGCAGAAGAAATAACATAATGAAGCATCTGAGATGAGGATATGGCTATGTAATTAATGAATGTATATGCACAAAGGACAGAGATGAGATTGCATATGCAACCTTAACGTTGACTTCCTGACTTGAATACTTTTCAAATGACCTTAACTTTCTTGCAGGAGGTCTGAGGAAAGCGTTAGTAGTATTTTGAGTGTTAAAGATTTGTAATGCTCCTTTTCCACCTTAGACTTTCTAAGGTAGAAAAAGGAACCATCTTGTGGCATTTACAGTTGAGCAGCTTCTGTTAATCAGTTAAGTTGTAACTGAAACAAGTGCTGTGTTTTCCTTTCACTGCCAAGTTAGTGATACACATGAGCATACAACCTTACTTTGTGGTACACAAGCTCAGTGGTAAAATGCAGTGCAGAGCATGCTGTGCACGTGCAGAGTGTGAGCTTTATTAGAGTGTTAATTCCTAGAGATACAATCTCTTTTCTGCCCCCTTTTTTGAGAGGTGGGGACAGGAGAAACAGAAGATACATCTTGGAGTCAACTACTACCACATGTATCCCACTTAGCTGTTGAGCTTGGATCTGCTGAACAGTCAAGTGCGAAACACATTCCCTTGCCCTTTCCTACCCTATCACTCTCCTAACAGGTGGACAAAGCTTGAAGGTTTCAGTGCAAAAATCTGACAAATCCCCCCTCTCCCCGTCCCAACAACTAAGCTCCAGGTTTAGAAGTTGGCTAGCTGGAGGGTTAGAACAGAAGCACTTTGTAGTTTTAATCACAGTTCTTGCTCCTTCTGTGCATCTCCTTCAATGTGAAGGACAGTGCTAAGTGCCAGTCCCCTCCTCCTGTATGGTCTCCTACCTGACGCCCAGGCTCGCCCATTTTTTAAACCAGAGCTCTAGTTTAGCCTTAAAGGAACATTTGACATACACAAACCTCAAAACCGAGTCCCTGAATATATGCTGAACTTGGGCATCTCACTACGTATTACCTTGCTATAGCACAGCAAAAAGGAGTATAAACATCACCTTGCCTATTTTTTTTGTTGAGAACCAGCCACGGATTTATTTATCCAATGTGCCTGCACCAAATGACATTAATTTCCATCTAATCTCATCAATTGAAAAATGACTGGTTTCCTTCTCTAAGCCACAGTTAGTGTCAATTATCATACACTGATTAAGTGGGTTGTTTATTGTAAGATTTAAACTGAAACTGAATTTTATGTCTTCAATCTTTTTTCTTTAGGAATTTAAAAAAAAATCTTACCAATCTGGTGATTTGCTTTTCAGCTCATGATAGGCTAATTACTTTACAATAAAGTTATGGTAATTGAAAAAATATTAACATTAATGAAGTGGTCTTGACTGTGCTTCTGAGACTGAAAAGCTTGGACTATCAACAGACCCTCCTTCACACAGGCTGTGAGCCACTTTCTTCTCACAGAGAATCTCCCTCCAAGAGAGTTTCTTCCCTAAAGCTTTCAGAAGAAAGGCCACCATTTGAAAAAACCCAAGGTTTCAAAGTTGCCAATAAACGCATATCTAACACCGAGTAAAGGCTACTGTCACTCATTATCCTACCCTATATATCTGCTGATCGAGACAATATTCCAACAACATGGATTGCATCCTCACCTAGGCTGTGCTTGTTCTGCCCCCCTAAGGACAGGAACATCTCACTTGCCCTAAAATTATTTGTAACAGTGCAAATGAGGTAACAAAATAAAAGTACCTCCTCCTCTTCTTGAGACTCTGTCAGTGGGCCGTTCCGTGTCTCTTGGAAAAGGATTTTCTTCATTTTCCGGTACTGAAGGTTATCCAGTTCACGTACTGCATCTTTTGTCCTTTGTATGAGGTCTATTAGTACCCTTGGTGGTCGGTCTCGGCGAACAAAATCATGCTAAATTAGAGGAAATAAAACACATGGTTTCAGACATGACACTAGTATGTTTGATGTAAAAACAAGGACACAGTGACTTTTTTTAAGAGACACCTGAAATGACAGTTCATATTCAGTAATCGGTCTGTTCATATTCAATAATTAGTAATACCCACTATGAAAGATTCCAAACACACTCAGCACTGATTACACTGACCGTACTCATCACTACGTCAAATAACCAAACTGATCATGCTATGCGCTATGAGTTTTGAAGCGTAGACTGCAAAACGTTTTGTGCAAAAGTCAGAAGATCTGCTTAAGCACAGAACTCAATTAAATGTAGCATACAGAGAAGTAAGGCAAAAACTACTTCACTATTTAAAACTTGTGTGCGTGTGTACGCATGCACACAGGCACATCAGTAGCGAGAGAAGATGGGTAGTGGAAGGAGAGGTGTGAGCCCCGGCTGACCCTTCACAAGCTCTCTTTAGCCCTAACTCCCCGATTCGCTTTTCTGGCTGGAGTAAAACAGTTTGGACCAGGGTCAGGTTTTCTGAGCTCTCCAGGCAACAGCTAATTTGTCCCTTCCCGAGCTCACTCACTTGAGGTGTACAAGGTACAAGACAGTGTGACTTCAAACCTTACAAGGCATAGGACTTTAAAATGAACAAAACGCATAAAGGACAAAGAAGAATCAATCCTGATTATGCAAGACTACCTGCTTAAGCTACATGCAAAGGTTTACGCTGCATCTGTCTATTCTGATTCATACATAAAACCAGTAAGAAGACCGCAAGGTTTGTTTATACTTAAAGGATTTGTAGCCAGAGTTAAAGTAAAATCAGTTTTTTACTAAGTCCTGCTAAGGATATACTAGAAGCACAGGTTTTAAATGCAGATTTAAATGGAATTTAAGTACATGATTAAAGACTCTTCTCTGATTTATCAGATACTTTCTCCTGAACTGTACAACTGGCAGTAAAGTATGAAAGCCTTGCAGCTTTCCCATTTAACCTTTGACTAAAGTAGACAGTCTGAGTATACACTTGCCAAAATTCTGGCATCACTACAGTTGGGTATGTTGCTTAATATGTATCACAGGAGATGGCCTGAAGGCACAAACATCATCTTCTGCACATTTCTAGAAACATTAACAATGAAAGAAAGGAATGGGAAGAAAGTTGTTCTCTACCCTGCAATGCAAATGCCACAATGGCCTTTTGTTAGAGAGCCTCCACCGCCGGGCCCTACCTGCAAAGAAATTCTCAGGAGGGTCACGTCTGCCCGTTTGGCCTCACAGCTCTTTCCACACCTGGTGAACTCGGGGTCCCACAGGACAGGGAACAGCATCTCTACCTTAGATGTGATGCCATCCTTCAAGTTCAAGAGCTAATACATCCAACTGTAACTGGAGTAACCCATACATGAAAGCCAGTCCTCCTTAAAACAGGAGACTTGCACATAGAAAAGTTGAAAGGATGAGCTGATCTTCTTTTAATGATTTGTAAATAAACAAAGTATCATGCCACAGGCTTATTTCTTGTTTTTAATTGAATTCAAACTGTTGTACATTTGAGTTTTGCTAATGAGGACAGCTAGTCATTTCAGTATCAATTTTTTGCTAGTAGTGATGATGTTTATTTTTGAATTATAGCTAAAAGTACTAAACATCATTTAACACAGAAGCAAAATGAATAATTTCTGCTCCTCAACACAGATAACCACCATTTATTACTCTGTAAACAGTAACAACCTGCAGCTTATCTATGATTAGAAAAAGGGTAACCATTTTTATCTCATTGTAGATAATTTTTAGAAAGCAGTAATGTATTTGGATCGATGATCCTGAACTTAAAACCATTCTATATGTCGAGTGTCTACTTGTTTATGCATATTCTTTAACAGTGCAAATACTAATTTCACTGAAAAGACTACAGGCCTCATATTCAATCACTACTCAAATATTAGATTGAGACCACATGCAAACTGCAGGGCAGATGCACAAAAGTGAAAATCAAACCAAAAGGCTCTTGCATAATGTGAATACAATTCTGACTGCTTACTTGCATTATCTAATTGTATAAATTACATATAAAAGATGTATGCACCCCTCTGCTAGGTACTGTGCAACATTAAGAAACGATGGCTGAAAGGACTTAATTTGTACACTTTCTCCAAACCGCAATAAAAAAGCCAAACCAACTCAAAGGGAGGAAGAGATTAGTCTAAAGGCCGGTAGCCAGTTGGCTGGAAGAGTGACTAAGAGAACTCAAGTCTCCTGGGAATGTCATGCAAGCTGAGAAAAACAGGGGAAAAGTTTTAAAACAAATTTTATAATTGCTCTTAATTTTAAAAGTGAAAAATATTAGTAAGTTTTGGTTGTTGTTTTGTTTCTTTTTTTTTAAATTTCAACTGTATTTTAGTATCACTACAGTAATTTGACTATTTTCATCTGGGATAGTGAATTGAAACTGAAATAATTCTCAAACACCTCATTTAAAATGCAGTTCCTTTTAAGAAATGTGGCCACAAAAATTTGCCCTATCACTGTTTACTGTACACAAGTGAAAAACCCTCAAAAGACAAAAAGATCTTCAGTCTTACAATCTAACAAGCTTTAGGGACAGCTACTGCGGGAGGCAACATCTAGGGTACTGTTCTGAAAGTCTAAAACCAAATAAAAGACTGAATATACACGATTTAAGAATAAGATCTCAGCTCCAATTGTTTGCACAGACTCCAACCTAAGGTACTCAAGAAATCATATCCTTCAATGAACTTACACTATTCCTAGAGAGCAGAAAGGCTGCCAATCCCCATGAATGAATCATTCTGAAACCCACGACATAAACCTATTAGCTGGTCAAAGGACTGTCAGGCAGTTCTGCTGCAAGCAGAACCAGAGAACAAAACGCTGGTTATGTGCCACAGCACAAATGTATCACAGCAAAAAAAAATATACCAGGCGCCGAAGAGAGAGTACAAACAAGCTCGTTCATCAGCCTTTACCTGGAGAGTGAAGGCATAAGGCTTAAATATTCTATATGGTCCAGGCTTAAAGCAAGGACAGAAGCAAGCGCAAAGCTAGCTGTTCAGTAAAGAGTGCAGGGTTTCGATTTCTCTCTTCAAGAACCAAGAGGCTCAGAAACATCCATGATAATGCATTTTACTGAGCTGAAAGAGCAACAAGAGAAGCCATAAAACAAAGGCTGAATGGTAGCCTTAGAACAAAAATCAGCATGAAAAGGCTGTCAGGTAGACACAGAGCTGCAATCTAACCTACTGTGGAAATTAAGCAAAACACTCAATGGAGCTGGCAATTCCTCTGCTCAAATATTTAAGGAAAAACTGAGTCCTGTTTACCTGGTGTGGAACAGCAGCATGCCATGCAATTCTCACTAGCAGCTATGTACGGCAACCAGAGGAATAGCAGGGCCACTAATCAATTTTAAAGAAAGGAAATACTTAAAAGGAAGAAAAAAAAAAAAAAAAAGCCTGATGGAAAAGGGGCTGGACAGGATTTCACACATCCCTACCTTCTAACGGAAGGCTGCTCCTGAATTTCCCAAACACAAAGCCGTTGGAGTTACAAGCCGTTCCTATACTTCTCGGGTAAATTGAAACCCAATGACTTAAACTGGAACTGATTTACAATTCCGTGACAGAACTTTGGCAAACTCTGGACACATCACTCCCAGCACAGGTCCCCCTCCTACATGCTCTTGGCAATTATGAACCTGTACAAGGCACTTTCAAAAATGATACAGTTATTTCCAAAACAAGTTCTAATTAATTGGGTTCAGTATAGAAACTATTAAAAGGAATAGAAACAACTTTTGATTTTGGTGGTTTGATTAGGGGAAGAAGTTAACCTAGGCCTACCCTTTAGTGCTACTTTTAACAGCTAAGTATGATGCATGAATACAGAAAAGAAGCAAACACATTACAAGATGTTAATGAATCAAGAGGAATTGCTCAAAATCCATCTAGGACAAAGAAATGATTGGAAAATGGAGATCAGAAACACAGATAGAAATACAACACTGCATGACTAGAGAAAGAAGTTGAAAAAAATATGATGTTTGGAAATACACAACAAAAAAAAAATAGATGCAGAGTATGTTTGGTAAGTAATAATATGAAGAGGGATCTACAGTTGGCACTAATCAATAAATTCATCAGGACTTCTGCACCACACAGCAGTCAAAAGAACACAGAACAACCTCCTATTGTAACACCACAGAGCAGAGCCGAGCCAAGCCAGCCTTTACCAGCTCCCATGTAACCACACCTGGAGTAATGTTTCATGATACGTGTATTAGTGCCAGAAATGCCCGTCCAGTCAGAGGAACTTTAGACAAAAAAAAAACCAAACCAAAAAGTGGATCAGAAAGGCCCAAATGAATGATTTACAAGAATAGAGCAAAACCAAGACCTGAACTGAGATCAGGCAGAAAGATCACGAAAAGATACATATTCAAAAGGTATGAACAGATGAAGAATTAATCATGCTCACATTAGCATCACTAGAGAAAAAAAGGTCAAGATAACCTTCCTGAAATTCATCTGCGTCTGTCAAAAAAAGACAAGACAGGACAGGTCAGAGCACCCCACACAGAACAATCTTGCTCTGGCCAGAAGATATACATAAGTCACCCAGTCTCTTTCCATCTCTAATACCCATGTTCCTTTAAATAATCAGCTACTATCTGTAAGTCTTTATTAAGAGCTCAATCCTCTGATCATGTGGAGTATAATTCTCAAAGTACTACCAGATCTGCAAAAGATTTGCTATTGACTATGCATCTTATGAAGACTGATTAAGTCTAGATTTGAGTAGCAATTAAAATGACTTTTTAGATTTTTCTATCACTTCCACAGAGAAAGCCTGTAGCAAATTACAAGCCTTAAACCTTACTGAAACTGCATATAAGCTTAGTAGCAAGTATTGCCTGTTACACAACAGAAAAATAATGTTTTTCCTTACTGGGGAAGGTAAGCAGAAGAAAAAAAAAAAAAAGGAGCATCAGCAAGTTAACAAGTTACATTACTTTACACAAAACTGCATAACTGCTCCAGAAAGGTCTTCGTTTCACACACGCTACACCAAGTTATAGTTTCTCCACTCTCTCTGCCCCCATTTAGAGGGCGAACAGGGTTGCCTCCACTTTCCTCCCCCATTACTGTCTGCTCTTTCAGAGACCACACAGTGCAGCACGGTCACAATTCAGGGCATCCTACTGACAGCACAGTATAGCACAGAGGCTGGTGAAAATTCCTTCTTCATCAAAGCAGTCGGAAACACGTTCCTAAGTCCTACCTACACAGAAAACTATTGGTTGGAATGCACTTCTGCAGCACAGATTTAGCTAACCTAGCTCTAGACCTGTTTGTCCTTGATAATACTTTCAGTTAAAGTATGTACAGCATTGTCCTGGAAAAAAAAATTAATAAGAAAATAAAAATCAATATTAAATCCTTCTATCCCCCTCCTGCTGACAGGTCCTTCCTTCAGCTAAAAATCCCGTTACTCACACTACTACCCCATGAGGCTTGCAAGTTCTCTAACACAAATGTAACCTCTGCAGAGCTATGGGGTGTAAAAGGAGCAGGGTGCTGGGCTGCTACCCCAAATAACTCCTCACTCGACAGTGTAACTGTCTGCAGCCTACTTCTACTTTTCTCCAGTAGTTCGACTCTTGACCATCATGTTTAAAGAGAATTGAGACTGACATAACAGGCAAAGTGAGGAAACAGTTAAAGAGCCTAAAATATTGCAGCCTAAAATACTCTTCAGAAGACCCCAAAATTCTATTGATTCAGATGAGAGCAAAACCAACCTTTTTTTTTTTTTTGAAAGGGCAAATATTTGTTTACCATCTTTAGAATTATTTTGGTAGACAAACAGATTTTTCCTAAATTTCTCAAAAAGATTTGAAAAATTACCCGTAACAGATCTGTTGATGATGGCCTTTCCTGAGGTATTTTCTGTAAGCAGTAATCAACAAATCCCCTAAAGGAGTCTGACCTGTAAATAAAAAAAAAGTTCTAAATGAAAGAGAAGCTTCGCATCTGGAGTATACGCAAACTTAATAGTGCAAAGCAAAAGAAAAACCTTGACTAATTTGTTCTTAAGTTCTAGGGCAGAGAAATTAACTGGACTTTTCCAAATCCTGAGTAAGTTGATCCCACCAGTTCTTTCAACAGTTATTTCAACATGAAATAAACATGGACACACAATTATCCCCCAACCACAAGCTGAAAACCAAGCAAGAACTATGTGTAGCAGTCATGATTTCCAATGAAATAGACTCGTTAAGGTAGCTGATGAAATGGCTCTCTACTCTCTAGAAGCTTCCCACCATTTGTAACACTGACTCCGTAAAGCGCCTTGATACAATGCTTAGTTCAACAAAACTTTAGGCTATATATGAGCTTGTATCACAATTGAAAAGAAGAAAACTGATCTTCTAGGTGCCATTGAACTCGAAAGCAGCATAAAAGGCACCTTGCTTACTCCCTGTGTTTTCAAAGCTACAGAGAGCAAACAAGTGACTATAAACACGCTGCTTGCAATCAAGAATACTGATTCTTATACTGTATTCACAAGTTGTCTCTACTCTGCATTGCAAATTCTGCACAGAAGAACACGGATATCAGCGTGCAGAAATGAAACCAAGTTCTTTGAATCTTGAAAAATGGACAAAACAGAGACTATGAAATAAGGAAACTGAAGTGGAGTGTTTTTGATAAAATGATCAGCAGTGAAGCAATTATGCTACTTAAGTGCCTAGCAGTGTAACTTGGGGAACTTCACACCTCTCCGGGAGCTGTCGTTTCAAGCCGTCTGCAGATTCTGCCAAGCATCACTCGATAGCTACATTCCACTCTTGGGTACAGAGAACAGAAAATGGGGTAACCCCTTTGCTCCCACAGAATAACAAAGCATTCTTGTACCAAAGTTCAGATTCTGGAACAAGCCTGTAGCATGGGGAGTATTTAGTGGCCACAGAGCTCTGATGACTTTTGAAGTCATGCACTGAAAAAATTCTAATTACCTCTATATTCTGTGTACCTCTCCCCTCCCTTTCTCCACAGTTCAGCTGCACTACAACGCTAACGATTCTTCTGTCAGGAATCTTTTGCAGCTGGAAACTTTGCTGAGCTACGGCTGGCTTAATGCATCCAAGAATATTTTAATTCCTACAGCATCTATAGCCCCATAATTAACACCTCCACACATTTAGACTGCAGCCAAACTGACAGAAGGTCAAAATTGAACCTGCCTACACAGGAGCATTATTTGAGAATGCAGTCAAATCACTACGCTGCAACAAACACTTTTCTTGTCAGACTTTAACCATGCAGAGAGCATCGCAGAGCATTTTCAGAGCAACAAACAAACAAAAACCTGGTAATAGCTCTCTTACCATTCATTTGACTGTAACGTAGGGGAATCATTCTGGGCTATGTGATATAAGGCACTCATTGCATTCATGTTGAAAAGTGGAGGCTTCCTTTCAGCTAGAAAGAGAAGAGAAAGGTGTGATAAGGCAGTCTGGAAAGAAAAGGAGAAAGATACGGAAGTATGAGCAAGGATATCACTGCTAAATCAATAGTTCATTACTGTCGTCATCACATTTAAGCCAATTATTTTAGTATTCTAGGTTAGACCAGGACAACCACTCAAGGAAAGTTGTTATTCTCTTGAAGAGGGAATGATGAAATCCAAAGAGAGCAGGATGCAAATTACAAGGAAAAGTTTCCAGTAAATTTTACCTTAATTGCAACATTTCACACCTGACCTGCTATGGTAAAATCAGCAGAAGCTGACTAAAACAGAGCTTAGACATACAGCATGTCAGGGCTAGGAAATTCATGTATCAATCCCTACAGATCTTTTATGCACTGCTGGAGCATCTGTATTAAGGGAAAAGAATGGCTGCCTGTTTCATTTGTCATTGGCAGTCACCTGCAAGTGGGACACGTTCCCAAATTCACTTGCCAGATGTGTCGTTAATTCCTCCTAACTAAAATTCTTCCTAGTCCTTGCACCGAGAGGACACCTACCCACCAGCCCTGGACCTTTCAGGAGTGCAGCAGATCTCACAGAAATTGGTAGTTTTCACCACCATCTAAGGTCAGTCATGCCAATCAGCCCATGATGCCAGGATTTTTAAGTTCATGTCAGGTCAGAGCAATCACTTGTCCTTGACATGCAGCATGCATGCAAACCACCGCATTTTCTTTTCTTTAAACACTACTTACTTTCGGCTACACAAGAAATTAAGACATCAGCATTCAAAGAAAGACAAGGGGTGCTCAACAAGAGATTTCCTCCCACTGCTACCTGACCCCATGTTCAGATATGGAATCACGCAAAGGCAAAGCTCTAAGTTTAAAAAAAAAGTTTAATACTTCTCAAAAGGGTAATATTAAAAAAAGCAAACCCATCAACTATGTAAAACGGCTTTGAGGTTCTTGACTGAAAAGCTCCATAGAAAATCTAGTGCCTACGTAGGGTAGCATAGTATCTGTTCTACCACTGTGATTTACGCCTTGAGAGGCTGTAACTAGTCTAAACTCCACACAAAAAAAAAATCAGTGGCCATGCAGAAGAACAGAACTCTAGAACTTCTGATTTTTGCATTATTTATATCAAAATACAGATGTGTCAGCAAGGCATTAGCGCTGGCACATGAAATATAACACTGGAAGTTACTGGTCATTTACACCATTACCACCTCCATATTGGGGTCAACGTTTCTTCCTATTCTGTATACCCCCCTCTTTGTTATCTCATATGTATTTCTGCTGATTAAACATTTATAAATAACATTTTCAGTGACCTTGCCCTCACAAGAAGTTCTTGATGCACTGCTGTTAAGGTAAGTATAATCTACATCAGGACTATCTTTGAAAATAGTTTACTCAGCACATGCAATGTCAATATTCAAACTTAAAGCGCACACATCTGCTCTGTATACCTGCTATCACATCTACATCTGCTTCAGGTCGTGTGGATGCGTATCATTTGCCCTTTGCAGTGCAAACCCTTTTCTTCTCATGTAAAGAACCTGTCCACGTTGATTCATTTCACAAACTTTCAGCTGAGATTGAAGATTATTTTGTTTCAGAGAGTGGGGAAGTAAGAAGAATTGAAAATTAAATGTAGGTCCCTTCTGACACAATTCTTAGGACACCAGTCCCCCTGACATAATAGCTGCAACAACTTTCTCAAAACCCAGCCTGAAAAATACAGACTACAAACCATAGTTTCTTCTTGTACAAGACTAGAATCCTCTAGTTATTAAGGGAATAACTGAACACACCATATTAACATTAAAGCACAGCAGCATTAGTGGCTTGCTCTTCATTTGCCAGTGAGTAAAAGATTTAACTCAACTGTCAGTGCTTTCCAAGTCAGGCTTTTTAAAGAAAAAAAAAAAAAAACAAACACAAAAAACCCCACTTATGTGGAATAAGAATCTTCCGTTTTCTCAGGACTTCCTAATAAATACTGCAGACAGTTCATTATTAATCTCAGCTGCCAAGTATTTACTCACCTAACTCAATACACGTGATCCCAAGAGACCAGACATCCACCTTTCCATCATACTGTCCCTCGTCCATAGCAAGGATCACCTCTGGTGCCATCCTACCAACCACAGTGCAAAATATGCAGGTTAGGGGATACAAATTGTGACTCCCAGCACAGAGCTTAAAATGAGATGGCTTCATTATCTTCAGCAGCGCAGCGGACCAGAACTTAAAGAGCCAGCATGGAGCTGAGTAAAGCCATGCCGAAATGAAACAATGCTTGCCTGCACTAGCAACTCTTCCAAGAGGCAGTTTAAGAAAGGAAAGTAAATAAGAGGCCAACCTGATCATCTTGCTGTTAGCGCAACATGCTGGCAACATGGGAGACCCACACCAATCTCAAAGGCATTGTACCTGCAGGCAGACAGCAAGGGCTGGGAGAGTCCTAAAGGCATCACTTTCACTCTCACCAGAGATGGTGGGTTTTCCATTGGCACACCAGGAGAATTTTCCAGCAGATATATGCAGCCTGTGAGTGTAGCTATGAAAGGAACAGGGAAATCCGGAACAGTGGGGAAATACAGTGGTCCAGGATAAAGGGATGAGTGGTGGCGAAAAAAAAGCAGCGGGCCCAGCCTGCAAAAATTCAGCCTCTTAACTTTTGTTCTTCAAAGATGAAGCAGGCTTCCTGCCAAATGGACTTGTTCAGAGGTTGGGCGATAGGTGACCTCCCATCAATGCCTGGGGCGTCTGCCACAAAATAAGTGGAGCATAAAGCTATGCTGGTCCACTATGTTAGGAATGCCAAGCAACTCAAGTGACCCTTAGAGCAAGTTTCTTCAAAACAGAATTAAGCAGCTGTGTGACTTCCAGTCTGCACGGCCAGATTAACAGGATTCCCTTTTTCCATGTGGTTGTCTTAGTTCCATTACCTATGGCAAGTGTTAATAATTTTTAAGCCAACGGCATTACAACAGTCGAAACATTAACTGGTGCCATTTCAAAGTGCTGCACAGCCTACCTCTACTCATGGGCACTGAGAAAGAACACATTTCCTGAAGAGCCAGACACAGGGATTTTAAGAAAACTGCTTGGTTAATAAAGTTTTTATGACAGGTATTATTTTCAGATTGTGAAACGCTAGAAACAGAAGAGAGCAGTCTTATAAAGGACTGAAGTATTGCAGGCTTTACTCACCAGTAAGGCGTTCCCACAAAAGAATTGGCAGGGGAGACTATAGATGCAGACCCAAAATCAGCTAGTTTCACTTGACCTGGCTCTGTTAGAAGAATATTTCCAGCTTTAATATCCCTTTAAAAGTAAAAAAGAAAAGTATAGTTCTGGTTACAGTAGAATAACCTTCAAAAACTTAAAAACACACAGAAGTCCACTAACTTCTCAATTAAACATTCATAAAACCCTGAGAATATTTAGAGGTCTAGTATTACAGAAAGCTAGAGGAATCAGATACATGGGTTTTTTTGGGAATGGAAACCTGGCTGTACCCAAAAAGGGCAGAGGTTGAGGAAAGAGAATAAGAGATGAGCCATGGTTGCAAGGTTGAGACTCCAAATTGAGATCCAGGAGAGATGTACCCTAATACCCTGCTGTGACACCTTAAATGATACCAGACATGTTATTTTCATCTTTCAAATGCCCTAGGTTCCTTTATCTGATCTTTCCTACAACTCTCAAGATAATTCATACATTTAAGAGATTAACAAGAATGACACTACATATTAACAATAATGACAATACAAAAGGCACAAGATATATTCAACACCTTTGGCATCATGTTTCTAAATTCCAGCAGTAAGTGAGATAATTTCAAATTAACTGCCCATGAAATGCTGAGAAAGGTTAACTCAATTTGTATACCTTCCAAGATACTTTGCAATGACCTTATTCAAAGTTTGAGACAGACTTGTCAGTTATATCTGAAATATTTTTTTCTTCCACCCATCTGACATAAGAGGAGGAGGATTGCTTTAAGAAATTCAGGTCTACTTACACATTGCTAGCTGAAAATCACAATATAGTGAAAGTTCCTTAAAATCCTGATACAGCACTTCAATAACAAAGGGAAAATTGCACACTAGGTATGCCACAGATGCCTTTACATGGGGGCAAAGCTATTGGCTTTTGCAAAAGCAGACCCTCAACATAAATGTAAGGGAGCCCTGTCAGCCAGGCTGTATACACCACACAGTCTGGAATCTTTTCAAAAAATGCCATACATCTTTACAGAAAAAAATGCATCAAGAAAAATATCAGCTCTTCTTATCTGATGTTCAACTCTAAGTCCTTAAACACCAAAGCCACTTATCAGTAGTAGTAGACCTCCAACACAAGTTACTGTATATTGCCAAACACACTCATACTCTGATCCTGTGAAAACCGAGCTAATTAGATAAATGGGAAGGGAAAAGCTATCTTGTATTTGCTGCAGTGGAAGATCATACACTGAATTATCATACAACAGTTGAAGCACAATGATTTGTGCATCAAATACAAATTCAGTATCACTGTAGACCCAGAGTACAGGCAAGCTGAGAGACCCTTTAAATTTAGCGTGATACAAACACTGGAGACATGCCTTTGTCTCCAAAGGGCATCACACAGCTGGGATAAAGAGAGCCACAGAGATAGAAATTTACTTACAGTATTTCAGCAGCAGAGCCAGAGTAAGAACCTCTATTCCCCCATTCCCAGGACAGTACTGCTTCAAAAGTAATACTATGGAATTTTTGCATACATATGCTACTCAAATACATCCTGACATGTCTTCATGTTCTGGGTCTATGCATCTGTCACTTCTGCTGGAGGACAAGTGCTACAGATGTCTTGTATGTGCAAGAATGAACACCTCAAAAGTACAGAAGAGACAGCACAGGGTGTCTGTCTATCATCTTTGCTATCATCTCCACTGCTACCTTCACTGTACAACAATCAACAACGAACTCAGTGGCCATGTTAGGTATCAGTAAACACATTTGCTAACTTAGGTTTGCCTTGTACCTGCAAGTAAAGAGCAAATAACCTCATCCTTTGCCATCCCATAGCATGACGTTAGAACTAACTGGTAGCAGAGATGCTCAGGGAGCTCAGGAGGCAAGGTTAGAGACTTGCTTTGTTCCTGCATCCCCACAAGGTGTCCCTCCGTTCTCGATCACACTCGTTCTGCCTTCCCTGCTGCGGGGCAGGGAAACCACAGCTGTCCCAGCTGCCAGCTTTGGTCCCTTCTCATTCAGCGTTTGCTTTACTTTTCTCAGTGCTACTGGAACTTGCCGCAGCAGAGGCGAGCATGGTGTTTTCCTCCAGGTGCGCAGTTCCCCTGTAGCTGTGCATATCAGCACAGCGCTCCTCATTGCTGAACAACAAAGCTAGGAAACGGCACTCTTTCGCCGCTCCTTTTTAAGATACAACATCTATCAGAAAACTAGAAATCTCTTGTTGGTCCTCTTTTCTGAGAGACAAGACTTGCCTGCCCATCTCAGAAGTTAAAAGGCAGAATACCCCTTGGAAGAAAACCAGATAGGAAAGACCTGCGTGGTATTTCTAGCAGTAACTTTCCTTACGGCCTCTCTCAGCACACTGCAACAGCAAAGTAACTTTTTCCAGTTTGAAAGAGAAATAACAAGCTTTGTTCTTGATATGCAATAAGCACAGTTATGGAAAGTTCACACAGAGTAGCTAGTATTCAGTATGTGAAATTGCTGAATTTACAACACATTAATTGCACCATCTTAGAAAGTCCTAATGAGTATCAAGAAAAACTAATTCTCAATAGTGTCCATACAGGGAGTCATTTATTATAAATAAGAATTCAATGCACTTTGAAAGCACGCAAAATATTTCAAAACAGGTATTTTTATGCTAAAATAATGGCATATATGCAAAGGGCTGATCAAAAATCACCTCATTTTAATTTCATAAATTGGCATTCATGTTTAAATTAATATTTCACTTAAATCCAATTTAATAACCATGTGTAGATACACCCCAAATAGTTATTCTAACAAGTGACAAATAATTGCTGTCTCTGTAAAATCCCTCACTCTCTCAGCCTCAGATATACCAATTTTCAGTCTCAAGCTTGCCAATAGATGACAAAGAGGCTTTTAGCCCCATAAATTAGTCTCAAGTTGCCTCATTCTGATGACTCCCCACTCACATTACACTAATCTAGTTCTCACCCATTTCACAAGTCCCAGTAGTACCCAAAATTAGACAAAAAAAACCCCATGAGAACATGCAAAATTGTTGACAAATGAGTCAAAAAAATCCCAACTCCTGAAAAATACCACATTATGAAAGACAGATCTAGGAGCTGGCATCCACGAGCAGCCTGTTACAAAATCTTCCTCTGCCTGTGTGCTCTGATTTCTGCTAAGGTAGTTTTACCCTTGACTTACGCTTTCATCAACTGATTTCTGAAAGCATAAAGTTTTACTTACTCATATATAAACAATTCTCACAATGTCTAGTCTTAAAAATAGTCTAGCTCTATCACTCCACTTTATTTGGCAAATTTAGGGCAATATTTTCCTGTCAGTCAGCCAACATTCAGGTGTATTCTTTGTTACCGATGTCCACAGAGGAAAATTGCTAACTGGAAGAGAATTCAGCACTGAATATAGCCACATTAAGTTATTTCAACAACAACAACAACAACAAAAAAGAACAAACAAAAAAAAGAACAGAACTCCTTAACAGCCAACAGCTTTTATTTATACATCTACGCTGGCATTAGGAGTACTGACAAGTCCATTAGAGCAAATTTTGGTAGAATAACCTTTACCGAAGTTGCTTAAACACAGCAAAGCAATTTTCAGACTCCAGAGAGTGGAAGATGGAAGGACATCTAAGCAGCACCGAGCTCCAGCCTTACCTATGAATCCTACAGTGAGAGTGCAGGTAGGCCAGCCCCTGCAAGGCACCGTGGGTGATGGCAGCAATCTCCACTTCCTGAAGTGGCTTCTTGTGAACTGCGGAAAAAATTCAAGAAAAACCATAAGAAGGTAAGTGATCTTTTCCTGAGAAAGTGTTTTTAAAGAGAAGGAACCCCACCAATTTTGCCAGCTATGAGGTGAACATCATCTTCATCGTACTAGTTTCCTATGGCCTGATGGCCATTAGCAGCTGAGTCTATGCACAGCCTGTGCATGTATTTCACATCATAGGAAACCACATTTTTCTTCACATTCTTTCTATGGCCAACAGTTACTGTTAATACCAGGAGAGATGTCTGAGTGCAGCTTGCCAAATGTATTTGAAATACCCATTTGGTCCTCAGCAAGGAAAACTTGCCACTTTTTTTCCTCCAATAGACAAAAAAAACAGGAAAATGAGAAATACCAGCTACAAAGAGATGCCCCAAAGCACCTTCCATATATCCCTTTGGCTGACTGTATCTTAAGTACAAAAGATATGGTCCACAAAGAGTACTAGTTTTTGTAAACTTTAGCTTAGATTCCCTATTCCTCTGCAGGTGCTGTTGTTCTAGTTTTGAGGTCGTATCAGTCTCTTGTTCTATAAAACCATCTGTAATTATTCCTACAAACTGCAAGGCAAGAACAAAGGTGATCTCTGCAGGTTTTTGTTATGGATATTCAGAAAACAGGCAGTCTGCTTCAGTCATCAAGAAGGCACAAATTACAGGAACATAGCTATATACATTTATACCTTTTACAACACATAAATGTGCATGCCAACCACATGTAGCACTGGCCTCCTGGGAAAGTCTCAGCTTACCCTCGGTATCACAAATATAGGTATTCTAGCTACAGAATGAAGTAGTATAGACAGACCGCCTCTACCACCTGCAAAATACCAGTCTGTGAGAAAACAGCCTCCCACTATACTCAGAAGGCGCACTAGCAAAAAGAAAATCAAGGACTATATAAAACTTACCCTCTAGCAAATCAGAAGCTGATCCTAAACAATACTCCATAACCAACTGCAAGAAAAAAGCATGCTTTTAAATAATAGGGTAGACACTCCCCACAAACAGTTACTACTTGAACGGCTAAAAAGCAGTAAGAAGCAAATAAAATCTTAAAATTGCAAGAAATGCAATAAGCGATGAACAAAATAAAATGCTCCGAACATTCCAGCAATGTCAAGACATCTTTCATTGTTGTAAAGACAGTTTAGGCACTGAGAAGTTTGTGGGGAGATGTTGTAGAGGATGTCCCATAATAATTGTTTAATCTGCATGAACACACGCCTGCCTCAGAGAAGCAGGAATTTGTTCCAGTGTCCTAAATATCTATTCCCTTTAAATTACCTGGAAGCTTCTTCAGATGAAAGGGACTACAGGCAGCATGGGATGAATGCTGCTGCATGTAAAGACACTGTGTGTACTGAATATTTGATTGCTGAACCATACATTTTCTGCTCATGAAGACCTCTAAATGCCACATCGCTCACTCACCCATGCTGTATGCTCTTTCAGGTAACAGCCCTTATACTCTATGGTGTTGGGGTGCTTCAGCTGTTGTAGAAACTTGACTTCTTTGATGATATCCTGCCATTTCTAATTAAAAAAGGCAAAAAGGTATAAATGCATTTCTCTGCTTAATCCCCTGCATACTCTCATACACCACACACTGTAGTACAGTCTGAAAAGCAACCACAAAACTATTTTACAATGTGAAGATGATAAGAGTCATAGTTGCAAAAGCACAACTATACACAACTGGTCTGGATCTCTATTGCATTAAGACAATGCAATATTGTCTTATTGCATATTTAAATAGCTTGAGGATTGCAGTATTTTTTTTTCCTCATTTTATCTGCAATATATTTTACTTAAAGCATTGCTACTGTTTTGCTTATTGAACTGTCCAGTGGTCTCAAACTTAGTAACAAATCCACCTGCCCCAAAACAGATACTACCACCTATAGTATGAGCTACAGATGGTAGCAGTTAGCTGTTCACTTCCTTCTGTAACGCAGCACAAGGCAACTGACATTTGGAAGACCTCAGCACACGTAAGAGACCAACAGCTAAGCAAGGAAAAATGAGTTTAAAACATCCCTGTTTGCTCCTCACACACACATTTTTTACTGCATGTCAATCCACCAACCCAAATGAGCAGAGTCAATCCAGAGGGGATTGAGTGCTCCCTCAGTAAGT